TCAATCTGTTCTTGTTACCAACGGTGTTACTTAAATTATGCATCAATAAGTTAGGTGGCAATCTGTTCTCTTTCTTTCCCTGGGCCACTCACCTTCGAATGGAAAAGAATATTTTGCATTCAAGGATTTGCTCAGGCACAGTTGCCAGTGGCAACAACCAAGACAGAGACTGTAAATAAAGCAACTTTAAGGTGTGTTAAAACAAAAACAGCACCAGGTATCCCATTTTTCTCTGCTCCTTTACAGCTGTTCCCATAAAACTGCAAATTACAAAAGCAAGCAACAGTTTTGTAAGTGCAGGAGTTTTCAACAATGATATCCTAACGGTTATCAAAGACAGATTTAAAATATTGCGGATCTCTTGCGAGTGGCGATTTTAAGAAGTTATTCCCCGTGCATCCTGTGACTGCCCTTGCACAGAAAGCCTGACGCCACCGCTCACTACAACCAGCTCCCATTCAAGCACAGGATCCGAGCGTGCCTGTGATTTCAGCAAGCACAAGCAAAGAACAGGCAAAGGGCAGGATCATCACAATTAGCAGGATAAGCAGCTGCACCATCAGTTGCCAGGCTAGCACGTTATTATACACTATATAGCCTGGAGAAGAGAAGGCTGAGAGGGGATCTCATCAACATGCACAAGTATCTTAAAGGGTGGGTGTCACAAGGATGGAGCCAGACTCTTCACAGTGGTGCTCAGTGACAGGACAAGGGACAATGGGCACAAAGTGAAGCAGAAGAGGTTCCAGTTGAACGTGGGGAAGAACTTCTTGACTTTGAGGGTGACCGAGCCCTTGCACAGGCTGCCCAGGGGGGCTGTGGAGTCTCCTTCTCTGGAGATATTCAACCCCCGCCTGGATGCTGTCCTGTGAACCCTGCTCTGGGTGAGCCTGCTTGAGCAGGGGGGTTGGGCTGGGTGATTCCTGGAGGGCCCTTCCAACCCTTGCCATTCTGGGATTCTGTGTGATTCTGTGATTCTATATGGTTTTATTATCTATTAAGCTTTTCTAGAGCTCAGAAAGCCAAACTGTACTTGATATTTTCCATAGCCTGCACCCTTTAAGTTTTTTGTTTTTTTTTTTTTTTGGCATTTCATTTGTGTTTCAAATTGTCTCAATAGTATTTACAAAGGAACCGAAGTTTCAAACAAAACATTTTACACACACGCAGGCTGCTGAGACATGCTTGGCCTGCAAAGCATTCCAGTAGCACAAGGGATGCTGGACTGGTGTCAGAAGGCAGCACCAGTACCTCCTCTGCAGCGTTAGGGTGGAGAACAGCGTGTAATTGTTCCAGCTGCTTCACTGGTCTTGCAAAACAGTTTTGCAGAAAGGCAGCTCCAGTTCAAAGGGAAAGCATCCTCTGTTACCATCCACATATCCATGTCTTTTGCCAAAATTATCTCTCCAAAGGAAGAAAAATACATTATTTCAACTCCGGTTCAAAGGAAGGAGTTCTACAGTTCCGGTAGGTAGCACAAAGATCCAGAAGAGGCAAAACACAACCCTAAACTATTCTGATGTAAATTCCTCAGCAAGCTGTGTACAGCACTGGAAACCATCATGAAAACAGAGAAACAAGCCAAAGTCCGCTGACCCACCTGAACAAAATTTGTTCTTGCCTTTTGCAAAACGCAAAGCAAATCATAGAATCACAGAATCGTTTGGGTTGGAAAAGACCTCCAAGATCACCCAGCCCAACTGTTCCCCTAACCCTGCCATCCCACCACTAAACCTTGGCCCTAAGCACATTGGCTGCCCAGCTTTTAAATAACCCCAGCGATGGGGACTCGACCCCTGCCCTGGGCAGCCCCTTCCAGTGCCTGACAGCCCTTGCAGGGAAGGAATTTTTCCCAATGCCCAACCTAAACCTCCCCTGGCACAACTTCAGGCCGTTTCCCCTCATCCCATTGCCCGTTACCAAGGAGAAGAGGCCGACCCCCACCTTGCTACACCCTCCTTTCTTCTTGCGTGCTCTTTGGCAAGCAGACTTTATTAAGAAGAAGACATCAGCTTGGCTGAAGGCCACTTTCATGGCAGACTTGCAAGGCATACATCAAGAATTCTCCTAGCCCCCTCTGCTCCAGGCTGAACCCCCCCAGCTCCCCCAGATGCTCCCCACCAGCCTGGGGCTCCAGACCCCTCCCCAGCTTCCTTGCCCTTCTCTGGACATGCTCCAGCCCCTCCATGTCCTTCTGGGAGGGAGGGGCCCAACACTGAACCCAGCATTCAAGGGGAAGCCTCATCAGTGCAGAGTACAAATGTGAGAAAGCACAGGAGATGTTGCACTGAACTCCTCCTGGAGCTGTTAAATGCTTCTTGCCTGGATTGCTGTGGCAGCGTCGCGAGTTATCATGACTGACTGCAACCTGCAGCAGCTTCAGTACCAATGCCACAGCACTCGCTGCAATACACACTATGCTTCTTTATTTTCTCCCCCAAAAGTATCCAGCTAACTAGGGAGAAAATGTATTGGAACAAGGCAATTGGGCAACACATCCAAGGAGAAGATACGGTGCCTGGTCTCACACCCTGGCACAGCCTCACCTTCTTGTGAGCTATCAGGAGACAGTTCGAGTGCTCGTGCTCGCAGGCGATTTCGTAGTCGGGGATATGGTCAGCCAGCTCCTGGACGAAGCGCACCACCTCCTCGTGCCAGGGAACGTTGGCCATGGTGAGGTTGCTGGCCGAGCTTTCACCACAGTACGTCACGCCCTGAGAAGAAACGTGGAAACCATCACCATCAACTTAACCCTTCACAAGCTCAGGGCAGTGCCGGCATGTCAGCCACAGCAAACCCTGAACAGACTGTCTGGTTGTCCCCGCTTCATACGCTATCTTATGGAAAGGGAACAAATTTGGAGACTGTGTCAAAAAGATCTGTCTCTCCCTCAGTGGCACAACCACCATGTGCCCCAGCTTCCCCAGCAGCAAAACACAGGTCAGTCTTTATCCTGGCAAGTAGCTTTAAAAGCCTCCAGATGGAGGACACTCGTGCTCCTGAGCTACCAGGGGACCTTCGAGAAAGTCACTTCGTTTTGAAATGTAACATGCCTGGAAAAAGTCTCACAACCACCCAATGCAACAAGTTAGCACGAGGCTTCTAGAGATAACTGTCCCATGTGCTGCAGAGGAGAGGACCTCTCCCTTCCAAGCCCAGGATGCGATTTCTGCCACTGTCCTCTAGTATCCATACAAACATCGTTCCAGGCCCTTGTAAAACCATCCTACATGCCCTCCTCCCTAACTGTGCCCAGGGAAGCTCCCCCAACTACTGGTCATTTTATAGGAAAAAAAAACAGGGATCCTCCCCATGTTGGTGTAAGAAAGGGGCATTTGCAAAGCATTTGCACCCAAGGGCAGATGGGCTGGGCAGGGTTGCACCAGGCCGCGGTGCCCAGACCAAGCACTGGCAGGGCTGTGGCTTGTTAGGAGAAAGGTGTAGATGCAGATGCTGGCAGGGTAGCAGCAGCTTGTGCCCAGAGAAGCAGATTTCTGTTAAACACCTTTCCCTCCAAAGAAAAGGGAGGGGAGGAAATATCCGCAAGTGCACAAATCATCCTTCTCTTCTGTGCATGCACAAAGTGTATGATTCTTGAAAGCACAAAGAGCAAAATCACTAAAAAAAAATAAAATCGTGCAGAATTGGAACAAAGCAGAGGGTGCCTCTGAACCTTGAGGTCTTCTGAAGACAACTGCTAGTTTTAGGTTCAAGCCAGAGGGATGGAATTGGGCTTTACAAGTGCAGAAATGGTGAATTTGCACAGTCTGGTGCCACATCACTCATTCCCTTCTCTAAGACCTTTGCTAAACCAGAAGCAACTCCATGGGGATGAAAACATCTTCGCTGGGGGCAAAACCAAGAATTCCCCCCACAATAACAGGGCTTTACTTCTGCCCCTCTGCTCGAAGCTGGTTTTCTGCAGTATCCAAGCACCTAACGAACCTTAACGAAGCCAGCAAGTCAATAGCTCTGGGAGGGATGTGCTCTTACCCTCTGTTTATAGCCTGGAAAAAAGGGAGAGAAAGATTTGTACAGGACCATGGGGGAAGCCACGGGGGAGGAAGGACGCCTGCCCAGGGCAGCATCGCAGCACCGCTGAAACATCATCGCCCCGATCCAGCCTGCTTCCCCGCTGGTCTGCTCCTCTCCACAGCAGCACTGTCCCATCGCCCGTTCCCTGGGAGCAGAGTCTGACACCCCCCGGCACCCCCCTCCTCTCAGGCAGTTGTAGGGAGTGAGAAGGGCTCCCCTCAGCCTCCTCTGCTCCAGGCTGAACACCCCCAGCTCCCCCAGATGCTCCCCACCAGCCTGGGGCTCCAGACCCCTCCCCAGCTTCCTTGCCCTTCTCTGGACATGCTCCAGCCCCTCCATGTCCTTCTGGGAGGGAGGGGCCCAACACTGAACCCAGCATTCAAGGGGAAGCCTCATCAGTGCAGAGTACAAATGTGAGAAAGCACAGGAGATGTTGCACTGAACTCCTCCTGGAGCTGTTAAATGCTTCTTGCCTGGATTGCTGTGGCAGCGTCGCGAGTTATCATGACTGACTGCAACCTGCAGCAGCTTCAGTACCAATGCCACAGCACTCGCTGCAATACACACTATGCTTCTTTATTTTCTCCCCCAAAAGTATCCAGCTAACTAGGGAGAAAATGTATTGGAACAAGGCAATTGGGCAACACATCCAAGGAGAAGATACGGTGCCTGGTCTCACACCCTGGCACAGCCTCACCTTCTTGTGAGCTATCAGGAGACAGTTCGAGTGCTCGTGCTCGCAGGCGATTTCGTAGTCGGGGATATGGTCAGCCAGCTCCTGGACGAAGCGCACCACCTCCTCGTGCCAGGGAACGTTGGCCATGGTGAGGTTGCTGGCCGAGCTTTCACCACAGTACGTCACGCCCTGAGAAGAAACGTGGAAACCATCACCATCAACTTAACCCTTCACAAGCTCAGGGCAGTGCCGGCATGTCAGCCACAGCAAACCCTGAACAGACTGTCTGGTTGTCCCCGCTTCATACGCTATCTTATGGAAAGGGAACAAATTTGGAGACTGTGTCAAAAAGATCTGTCTCTCCCTCAGTGGCACAACCACCATGTGCCCCAGCTTCCCCAGCAGCAAAACACAGGTCAGTCTTTATCCTGGCAAGTAGCTTTAAAAGCCTCCAGATGGAGGACACTCGTGCTCCTGAGCTACCAGGGGACCTTCGAGAAAGTCACTTCGTTTTGAAATGTAACATGCCTGGAAAAAGTCTCACAACCACCCAATGCAACAAGTTAGCACCAGGGCTCTAGACAGAGGAGAGGACCTCTCCCTTCCAAGCCCAGGATGCGATTTCTGCCACTGTCCTCTAGTATCCATACAAACATCGTTCCAGGCCCTTGTAAAACCATCCTACATGCCCTCCTCCCTAACTGTGCCCAGGGAAGCTCCCCCAACTACTGGTCATTTTATAGGAAAAAAAAACAGGGATCCTCCCCATGTTGGTGTAAGAAAGGGGCATTTGCAAAGCATTTGCACCCAAGGGCAGATGGGCTGGGCAGGGTTGCACCAGGCCGCGGTGCCCAGACCAAGCACTGGCAGGGCTGTGGCTTGTTAGGAGAAAGGTGTAGATGCAGATGCTGGCAGGGTAGCAGCAGCTTGTGCCCAGAGAAGCAGATTTCTGTTAAACACCTTTCCCTCCAAAGAAAAGGGAGGGGAGGAAATATCCGCAAGTGCACAAATCATCCTTCTCTTCTGTGCATGCACAAAGTGTATGATTCTTGAAAGCACAAAGAGCAAAATCACTAAAAAAAAATAAAATCGTGCAGAATTGGAACAAAGCAGAGGGTGCCTCTGAACCTTGAGGTCTTCTGAAGACAACTGCTAGTTTTAGGTTCAAGCCAGAGGGATGGAATTGGGCTTTACAAGTGCAGAAATGGTGAATTTGCACAGTCTGGTGCCACATCACTCATTCCCTTCTCTAAGACCTTTGCTAAACCAGAAGCAACTCCATGGGGATGAAAACATCTTCGCTGGGGGCAAAACCAAGAATTCCCCCCACAATAACAGGGCTTTACTTCTGCCCCTCTGCTCGAAGCTGGTTTTCTGCAGTATCCAAGCACCTAACGAACCTTAACGAAGCCAGCAAGTCAATAGCTCTGGGAGGGATGTGCTCTTACCCTCTGTTTATAGCCTGGAAAAAAGGGAGAGAAAGATTTGTACAGGACCATGGGGGAAGCCACGGGGGAGGAAGGACGCCTGCCCAGGGCAGCATCGCAGCACCGCTGAAACATCATCGCCCCGATCCAGCCTGCTTCCCCGCTGGTCTGCTCCTCTCCACAGCAGCACTGCTCCTCTGACTTCCAGTTGGGACAAGACTTACAAAAGCATAAGAAAATTCCAAGACTAGAGGAGGCCAAAGCAGGCCAGTTGCTCAGCAGGGAGCTTGCTGTTTAGAGGCGACCACAGCACAGCCCATGAGAGCTGGTTTGCTGCTGCCTCCAGCAATTCAAAGTTCCACCAAGACCCTCGACACTGGTGGGAAGGGATGAACACAAAGCCTCATGTGGCCAAGGGCTTCTAGAAACCAGGTGGACAACTCTGCTCGACCTCCTCCAATCTAGGTACAGAAACATGAGTTACCCGTTTCCAAGATTATTCTTTAATTCTCTGGCTTGGTATCGGCAGCTCTGTTCGCATGGGGGTCTGCAGGCTGCTCACCAGGTGCTTTCTGGGGGGGTAGTAGCTTGTTCCCCCAGACCTCTACTGCAGGAGAAGACAGCTACAGCGACTGCTGGGCATTCAGCGCTCCAGACCCGATAAAAAAAAAACAAAAAAAAAACAAAAGAAAAAACCAGACCAAAACAAAAAAAAAAACACCACAAAAAACCCCACCAGATTGGGAGCACTTGTCCAAACTGCTCAACATCCCCCCTGGACATCAAGGACCATGAGCTAGATACAAAAATAACATTGGCACAGTAAAGCAGATTATTTTTCAGGGCTGAGTACACGAGCAAACACCTAAAAATATACAGGCATTTGTAAAAACTCCCTCCAGCTCATCTCACCCTTACTATCTCTTGCTTAAATGAATTCAGTAAATACTGAGAACCGTTTGGAAAAAAAGACTGTCTCTGCCTGAGCCTCCTGCACACGCAGAGGGAAGGTGAAAATCCAGGCTTAAGCTGGTGCTGTAGAGAAATTCTTATTGTTTACTGATGAGTAGAGTTGACTTGATGACATTAAAAAGCAGCTTGTTGTGTTGTTTTGGTCAAAGGCCACCAGAACAACTGAGGAATTTCTATAATCCTGCCACTTCACAAAGAGTCCGCGCTGCTCTGGGAAACGCTGAGAGCTGAAATAATTGCCCCAGAGTGAACGTCTGCAGGAAACATCGAGGGATTTTTTTGTAAGATTGATTAGCACCAGTTGCGGATCTCCCGCCCAACACCGTCTGCCAGCCAAAAGACCAGTACCATTACCCATGCACCCCCAAAGCCCCCGTTGCTCCTGATCTCCCCTGACTTGGCAGAAGTAAAGGTCCCGCGGTGCTGGCACATTGTATCTGCACCCAAAAAAGAAGCTGGTCCATGGGGTAGGAAGCACCCCAGCACGTGGAGGCTGGCAGGACGAGCACTGGGAGCATCCCTTGGGCAGAGCATAGGGAGAAGTCTCCCACCGCACATTAGTCTGCAGAGCTCTGTGGCTCACTACTGCCAACAGGCAGGAGCACGAGCCTTCAGGGAAACAGCTTTTCTGCTCACTTTCTGGAAACACACTCAAAAATCAGTCGCTAATTTAGAAGTGGCATTTTTCAAACAAGACCTTCAGCTCAGATTTAACTGTATTAAGTCAGCAGAGACACTGGGTTCTTGCTCCAGCTCCTTTCCTAACCACCCAACCCAGCATAGAAACCGAAGGAGAGTGCGTTGGAGAGGGACACGTGTTCTTGCTGTGCCCTGCACAAAGCCAAGACGTAAGCACTGCTGGTTCGGATGATTTAATTGCAACAGAAGCCAAGGTCCTCCGGCTGACTGCAACAGCCACCCCTGCAGCAGCCAGCTCCATGCCCGGCAACCACCGCTGGTCAGAGAATGCAACCCCTCAAGTTCTCCTACACCCCACTCCACCCAACCTTGGCCTCATCATTTTGAGATCAGCTGCTCTTAATTTGGAGATTTGATCACATGGACCTCCTGAATTACTGCTTTAGTCCTGCCATGACCTCAGATTCACCACTTCCTTGCTCCATCTTTGCTTAAGTTAATAAAATTCTCATCAATTAGCTCAGCAGTATGTGGCTTGCTGAGCTGTATTTTTGCTTATTTCTTTTTTTCCCCCAATAAAATTCATTAAAGGCTCATCCAACTGGTTTAACCCATGGTATTGCAGCACAGGATGCAACCCACCAGCACCCAAACCAGCAAACTCACACAAGAAATGGCTTTTCTTCAAGACAAAAGCCCAACTCCTCCCTACCTCTCCAGGTGGTTTCACCACCTTCGCTCTTGGGCCGAGTTATTTTATACCCATCAGGCACTGGTCTTTAAAACAGAGCAGACACAATATTATAGATGGTTATGTTTTGCATTCTTGTGTTTTTTCCTCTGTGAAGAGCACTACTTCTTTTAAACTGCATTTGCATCCACACTATGTTTATGGCACCTGGTCCCAGCTGATGCTGCACTCCAAAGACCTAATTTGCCTAGAACTATAGAATTGTTTGGGTTAGAAAAGCTGTTTATGATCACTAAGCCCAACTGTTACTCTAACCCTGCCATCCCAACGACTAAACCCTGGCCCTAAGCACATTGGCTGCCCAGCTTTTAAATACCCCCAGCGATGGGGACTCAACCCCTGCCCTGGGCAGCCCCTTCCAGTGCCTGACAGCCCTTGCAGGGAAGGAATTTTTCCCAATGCCCAACCTAAACCTCCCCTGGCACAACTTCAGGCCGTTTCCCCTCATCCCATTGCCCGTTCCCTGGGGGCAGAGCCTGACCCCCCCCGGCTCCCCACTCCTCTCAGGCAGTTGTAGGGAGCGAGAAGGGCTCCCCTCAGCCTCCTCTGCTCCAGGCTGAACACCCCCAGCTCCCCCAGATGCTCCCCACCAGCCTGGGGCTCCAGACCCCTCCCCAGCTTCCTTGCCCTTCTCTGGACACAGCCGCCTGTCGACCAACACCCCCAGGTCCTTTTCCGCCGGGCAGCTTTCCAGCCACTCTGCCCCACGCCTGCAGCATTGCCTGGGGCTGTTGTGACCCCAGTGCAGGACCCAGCCCTTGGCCTTGTTGAACCTCACACCATTGGCCTGGGCCCATGGATCCAGCCTCGCCAGGTCCCTCTGCAGAGCCCTCTTCCCCCCCAGCAGATCCACACTCCCGCCCAGCTTGGTGTCACCTGCAAACTGACTGAGGGTGCCCTCGATCCCCTTGTCTAGGTCATGGATAAAGATGACGATTGCAAACACTTAAAATTAGAGCAAGGTGAACCACGCAGTGGTCAAACAGGGCTATAAAAGAAACAGACTCATGCTAATTGGAAACTCTGCAAGTTTTGGAAGCAACTACTTCCTCGCTGGTAAATTTATGAGGGACTTCCCCTATTAATCTGCCCAGGCAAAGGATAGTCAAGCTGTGCACCGTAACTCAGAGCCAGCCTGGGAACAGGTTGGCTGGCCATAACCCCAGGCAGGTTGGGGGAGGGCTGAGCAGGGAAGTGCATTAATTTTTTTTAGCCCAGCTCTGAAAGCCTGAAAAAAAGATTTTAAACGTTGTTATATTAGAGCAGCCAGCCATGCAAATAATAGGATAGGTATCTCCAACGTTCAGCCGTATAGACGCAGCTCCATATAGCAACATCTTCCCTATGTTCGTTATCCAGATTATGATTTGAGCAGCATGAAAAATGTATGACTACAGAGG